TCATTGTGTGGCTCATCAACTTTATACCTCTGTAGCTTTGCACATCACCCTTGTTCTTAAAGATCGGCACTAGTACACTTCTCCTCCATTCCTCAGGCATCTTCTCACTCTCTAAAGTCCTGTTGAACAAACTAGATAGAAAACAATGATGATTTGCATGTTTAAATTTGGCATGTTTTTACGCCGGATGCCCTTCCTGATGCAACCCTCTCTATTTATCCGGGCTTGGGACTGGCACAGAAGTCACTGGCTTGCAACCCCTGTGGCTAGATTCAAGCAAAAAAGGAAATAAGTTACCAGTTTTTAGTGTAGTTTTGACACCACTGTGGCAATTACTGGGGCTATACCCAACTAAAAATGTTGTCAGTCGACTGATTCAGCTTTTCAGTGTGAATATTTGACTTTTTTTTTTCAACTGGCATGAATTTCAGTGATGATTTTGATCACATTTGCATAGGTATTCAAGTGCAAAAGAGTGATGGGAATGCATTTCTGAGCACTGAAAAATCAGTAAAAGTCACCTGCATATGACACAAGATTTAATTTGACGATATACAACATTGAGCTGCCATAGGTATTTGTCGGAATAATGATACAGGCAGCACACTTGTATTTCTGTTGAAATAATGCTCAGGCATTTTTTCCTCTGAGACATGGTCGTAGTCTAGTTTACAGACAAGTTTGATCTTCCTTGTTAGTTTACCAGTAGCACATGTTGTTACATTTGATGCATGCCAGCTTACCAGGTGGCGCTCAGCTTAAACTCACAGCACCCTGTACATACACAAATCATAGCCCACACTACAATTGTTTATTCAAAAATTGAAGTAAAGACAAAGCATCGTGGTCATGATTTGCTGTAAGCCATGATTATTATTGTGTGTGGATTGTGATTTCAGTTTATTGTAATATTTTCTACATTTTTGTTTGTTTGAGGACAAGTCAGCCAACCCTCTAGTCTAAAATATGTATTCCCATATATATTGCAACTAAACTGCAAATGAAGATACATTATGCATGGAGAATATTTAATTGTTTGATTATATCTCAATGCGATGTACAGTGCCTTGCGAAAGTATTCGGCCCCCTTGAACTTTGCGACCTTTTGCCACATTTCAGGCTTCAAACATAAAGATATAAAACTGTAATTTTTTGTGAAGAATCAACAACAAGTGGGACACAATCATGAAGTGGAACGAAATTTATTGGATATTTCAAACGTTTTTAACAAATAAAAAACTGAAAAACTGGGCGTGCAAAATTATTCAGCCCCCTTAAGTTAATACTTTGTAGCGCCACCTTTTGCTGCGATTACAGCTGTAAGTCGCTTGGGGTATGTCTCTATCAGTTTTGCACATCAAGAGACTGAAATTTTTGCCCATTCCTCCTGCAAAACAGCTCGAGCTCAGTGAGATTGGATGGAGAGCGTTTGTGAACAGCAGTTTTCAGTTCTTTCCACAGATTCTCGATTGGATTCAGGTCTGGACTTTGACTTGACCATTCTAACACCTGGATATGTTTATTTGTGAACCATTCCATTGTAGATTTTGCTTTATGTTTTGGATCATTGTCTTGTTGGAAGACAAATCTCCGTCCCAGTCTCAGGTCTTTTGCAGACTCCATCAGGTTTCCATCCAGAATGGTCCTGTATTTGGCTCCATCCATCTTCCCATCAATTTTAACCATCTTCCCTGTCCCTGCTGAAGAAAGCAGGCCCAAACCATGATGCTGCCACCACCATGTTTGACAGTGGGGATGGTGTGTTCAGGGTGATGAGCTGTGTTGCTTTTACGCCAAACATAATGAACACACCATCCCCATTGTCAAACATGGTGGTGGCAGCATCATGGTTTGGGCCTGCTTTTCTTCAGCAGGGACAGGGAAGATGGTTAGAATTGATGGGAAGATGGATGGAGCCAAATACAGGACCATTTTGGAAGGAAACCTGATGGAGTCTGCAACAGACCTGAGACTGGGACGGAGATTTGTCTTCCAACAAGACAATGATCCAAAACATAAAGCAAAATCTACAATGGAATGGTTCACAAATAAACATATCCAGGTGTTAGAATGGCCAAGTCAAAGTCCAGACCTGAATCCAATTGAGAATCTGTGGAAAGAACTGAAAACTGCTGTTCACAAACGCTCTCTATCCAACCTCACTGAGCTCGAGCTGTTTTGCAAGGAGGAATGGGCAAAAATTTCCGTCTCTCGATGTGCAAAACTGATAGAGACATACCCCAAGTGACTTACAGCTGTAATCGCAGCAAAAGGTGGCGCTACAAAGTATTAACTTAAGGGGGCTGAATAATTTTGCACGCCCAATTTTTCAGTTTTTTATTTGTTAAAAAAGTTTGACATATCCAATAAATTTCGTTCCACTTCATGATTGTGTCCCACTTGTTGTTGATTCTTCGCAAAAAATTACAGTTTTATATCTTTATGTTTGAAGCCTGAAATGTGGCAAAAGGTCGCAAAGTTCAAGGGGGCCGAATACTTTCGCAAGGCACTGTAATTCTTCCGTGTGTCTAATATTATGGATAGTGTTATGCATTTAACCAGATGCAACATTGCCGCTATAGGCTCCTCACTTTAAATTAAACTAAAGAAAAAGCATGTAGTCTGTTTTATATTTCAAAATATTTTCAGGTGCATTTACACCTATTGTTTGACCTAAGTAACTTGACACATGATTTATAAATTTGTCTGAGCCATCAGATACTGATGGTTCCCTTCAGGTTTGGTTTGGACAGCCACCCTCTACTTCATGTTATAACTGAGAGCAGATGATTATAACTGGTGGCTTGTAGGAGCAGCACTAGCTGTTGCACAATCAACTCAGACTGGTGCTAGTTAGCCTGACATCCCCCAGCATCCTCCCAGCATTCAGACACACAATCTGTCTCTCTCTCCACAGTTGGTCTCCAGGAAAGGTCTGAGTCGATCTTTGTTCACTGCGACAAAGAAGTGGTTTGGTGGGGGGAAAGGTCCAGAAAGGAGCATCAGTGAACCAAAGAGCACAAGTGGCCTATTGTAAGCTCCCGGGCACAACACATTCAACACAGTTTATATGAGACTTTATTAGGACTGAATTTATGCAAAAACACCATGCTACACTGTAAATGCTATAGAGTGTACTTTACATTGCTAGGTTGACATTTCATGTCTATGTCAGATACCCACCAGAAGCTCCTGAATTGCAAATCAGGAAGATGGCCGACCTGTGCTTCCTGATTCAGCACTACGAGCTGGCCTACAGCTGTTACCACACTGCCAAGAAAGACTTCCTCTCAGATCAGGCCATGCTGTATGCTGCAGGGGCTCTGGTGAGAACATGCACACTCACATAAACCTATCTCTTTGTCCATGTTGTATTTCCTGGTGTTATGACCAGAGGGGTAGGACCTCAAAAGTTAAAAGGTTGTCCACTCCGCGGTTGCCAAACCAAAGTTTGAACACAGATTTGTAGCTAAAGTGAAATTATTTGTTACACAAAAAGGTGTAGCTGACAATTAACTGCAGAAGTATAACTAAAGTCAAACGTAGGCCAAAATTACAAACAAAAGAGTTTATCATTTCCAAAAGTGCTGACCAACCCTGAGTGATATAAACAAACAAAAAGAGATTTAAACCCCTTTTCTACCACCTGGTACTGGCTCAAGTCGGGTCAACTTAACTCTACTTGCCTTATTTGTTTTCCATCAGTCAGGGTTGGGGATACTACCTGGTACTATTTTCGGTATCACCACCGAACAATAAACAGTAACTGTGAACAATTGCATCTCACATTTAACATCCCAATAAATCTCTCATTTAAAGGAAAATCCACAGGTGAACCTGGATCATCAGCAGAATGCATTTTTTAAAATGATTTTAAGCATTTCTTGTTATTAAAATGGCTCTGAATTGCTATAGTGTCTGATCTTATCCTGAATTGCTTTGAAATACTGGGACAAAGTCTGGCTGAGTTGTCTAACCCTGGACAACAACATTTTGGAGTTTTGAACTCCTGGGCAAAGCACATTAAATCATAATGTTTATTCTCCCTATATTCTTTCCCTGTTCCTTTCTTGATTACATCTGTCCACCTGTTCTGTCCATGCACCCTACCACCTTCTGTAGGAAATGGCTGCGGTGTCGGCTTTTCTGCAGGCTGGAGCTCCTAGACCGTACCCAGCACATTACATGGACACCGCAATACAGACGTACAGGGACGTCTGCAAGTATGAGCTAATTAAAAAAAAAAAATATATATATATATTTTTTTGTCTGATGATTCAATTTAAGGTTGAATTTTTGGTAGCAGGCGTGGTTTGGTAAAAAAAAAAATATATATATATATTTTTTTGTCTGATGATTCAATTTAAGGTTGAATTTTTGGTAACTAACATTGTAACTCGCACTCAGAGTTCTACCAATGTGAATATTTCTTTCAGCACCCTAATAAAAATTTCAGGAGCTTAGTAGGGTTGCAGCATTATACTGGTTTCATATATCATGGTATGAAAATTGATGGATATCATACCATGCACATTTGCTTATTACCATTGTTGAAGGAAAAACAAACTGTGCACCCTTTTTTCCCCGACTGCCTGCCAGACTCCACGAGTGTCACACGCACACATAGAGTGGGTAAATGGCAGAGTTGGGGCTGCCAAGTGCTGCATTCCAGCTCAATCAACTGTCACAGTCACTGGCAATAAAAAAGACCCTTTTGTTTTCATTCCTCTGAGGGTTACTGTAGCATATAATAATAATTGTGTAATATCATATACCATAATGCCATCAATCCATGATATTTTCTGAGACTGGTATCATACCATGAAAATCTCATATTGTTGCAACCCTAGTGCTTAATATTTGTTTTTTATTTTTTCTGTGTAAATTCAATTTCTCTTGTTATCCAGGAGCATTAGCTTGTCCTGCTGCTTTTAACGGCAAGATGTTGTTTTCCTTACAAATTATGTTGGCTGGTATCCAAAGCGTGGGTTTGGTTCTTACCACTGTGTACACTTTTCTGATAGGTTGTCAAGTACAACTACAGTTATTCTCAGGGGTTTAGGTTAATGGAACCCATCTCAGAATTTTAAAGCTTTTGAACACTATTAAAGCAGTTATGCCTCAGCGTGTTAGATTTTTTTTTTTCTGACAGCCTCCTCTTCCTTCTCCCCTCTACAGGAACATGGTGCTGGCTGAGCGCTGTGCTTTATTCAGTTCTGAGATACTCAAGAGTCAGGGAAAATACTCAGAGGCTGCAACTCTTCTAATTAAACTGACCAGTGAGGTGAGGAAAACCACATCTGTGATATGGGACAGCTGTAGCTTAGGAGGTAGAGTGGGCCATTAAGAGCACTCGCACATTTTAAAACATTTTTTTTTACATGAGTCAAGCAACTGAACTAAAAATAAAGAAACAAATGACAGAAAATGTAAACAATAAAGTAAATTCAGGCAGTGGGCCTGCCTACGACAATTTAAAGTAGTGGACTACAGAATAGTATTTTTTACAAAGCAAACACAAGATAAACTGTTTTGTTTTAGTACATGGGTTAAGGAACATGCTAAAGAGCATCTACTCTTTTTTTTTAAATAGTGCAGATGGTTTATCATTAGGTTTATTAGCGCTTGGACACCTATTCTTTGTTATGCACAAGTAAGGTACGTTTAGATTAATAGCGGTAACATTAATTAGCACATTGCTGTGCACACTTTACACTCGCATGCCTCCCTCAGTGGTTATAGTTGGGGTAAGTAGGGGAAACATCTCGATGAGGAGACAGATTCCCACACAGGAGGTGCATGGTTAGCTACAACTTCACTCGAGACCAGTGAGGTGTTGTGAGACTTGTGAAGTGATGTAACGTATGTGCATGGTAGTATATCGTTCTTTATTGTACAGTGTTAAAATTGTAATCCTGCCAATAATACCCATTTTTACTAAATGTACCAGTAATCTGATCAGGTTTTTTTTTCCCCTGTAATTTTATTAGTTACCTTTTTTGTAATTAAATATGTAATGCTGTTCCATACTCCCCAAGCTTGTTTGCATATCAGTGTCCATGGACAAGACAACGAGCCCCAAAGTGTGCCTTGCATTGGTTTGAGTCTGTGTGTGAATGGGTGAAGGGCAGACAAAGATTGTAAGGGCATTGTCCATTATGGTAGAAAAGTGCTGTGTAAATTTATTTACCATTTACATTATTTTCATTCCTGTTTGTCTGGAAAGGCCACAGATGCGCTTAACATTTAACTCCATGAATATATGGTCACGTGTGCATACATACATGTAAAGGAATAATGGACAGTTCAGAATAATAATGCTAAAACTGTGTAAAATCATTGGTGATCATCTACCTGCATGCTTTGCAAGACAGAAAAACAATTCACACATCTTCCAGATGGGAAAAATTATCTCTGTATTGTGGAAACTGCTCTTCCCACCACTTAAGCTTGTAAATCTAGAGGCCTGAGTATCTACATGTATTAATTAAAAAGAAGTACAATTGTCAGTCCAGTTACAGTAGATTAACTCCACTTGGACCTTTATTCCACTCTTTTGTCCAGGACTCTGACCTGCGCAGCGCTCTCCTGTTGGAACAGACCGCCCACTGCTTTATTAATATGCGTAACCCCATGGTGCGCAAGTTTGCCTTCTATATGATCCTGGCTGGTCATCGTTTTGGAAAAGCGGGACAGGTAAGATTTTCAAGAGATCTGTAGTATAATACTGCATTCCACTTGAAGTCGGAAGTCAACTGGAACACCCCAGGTGTCGGAATTCCTACTTGGAAAGATGGACAAACCACACCAACCCCAACTTTAAAATCCAACACAACAGTAGTGAAAGCTGTAGTAATATACCTTTTATTAGGATTTCTGTCTTATTTGTGTCTGACAATAACAGTCGGACACACAGTACTATCCAACCTTTCTATGTGCTAACACTGCAAAGTATGTTGTAATAAACTAGTATTGCTGATAATAACAACAGCTGTCCATGTTGGTTATTTGACTTGCATACTGGAAGGCGGTCAACCCGGGTGTGACGCCATTCCCCGCTCAGACTTCCGACCTCTGAGCTAAATGGAATGCAGCATAAATTAACAGTGGTGGCCATGTCTCTGGCTGGAGTTCCAAACAGGTTTATACCTGGTGATGTGCCTGTCTCTGACAGAGTGAGGACAGTCTGTTAGTCCCCATTTAGACCTTTTTTAAATCTCATAGCCATGCTTGTTTTTGACTTTTTTTGACCACAGTTTTAAACTGTAGCATTGCAAACACACACCATAACATATTTGTTTTGTGTTTAGCATTATTTATTGTTTTATGTACATAAACATTTCTGGATAAAATACAGATAAGAATTGCTTAAATTTTATTTTGTTCATTAATTAAATCTTGAGTTCTTGAGTTAATAATTATCTGTCTTTGTTCTTGGTTACCATGCTTACCTTGCTTTCCAGGAGTTAAGGCTTCCTGATTTTATGCTTTTGCTTACATTATGAATGAGGTTGTGGGGAAAAAAAAAGAACTGGGGGGTCAGGTAATGTTTGGAGTCTACATACTGTATATAATATGGCAAGCTACAGTCAGGGAAAAAAAGATTTGAACCCCAGCTGATTTTGTAAGTTTGCCCACTAACAAAGAAATGATCAGTCTACAATTTCAATGGTAGGTTTATTTGAACAGTGAGATCATTTTGCACGTTTTGCAACAGGATCAAATACTTATTTCATTCATGAAAATGCAAATTAATGTGTAACTTTTTTTGTAATGCATTTTTCTGGATTTTTTTGTTATTGTTGTGTCTCTCACTGTTCACATAAACCTACCATTGACATTGTAGACTGATCATTTCTTTGTTAGTGGGCAAACGTACAAAATCAGCTGGGGTTCAAATCATTTTTTCCCTGATTGTATTTTGAAGTGTTACTTGTTGATAAGAGCAACCTTATATCATCTGTTTTAGGGGAGAATCAGTGATTCCTCCATGAGAACTTTGGTTCCCCTAGACTGAGTCTGCTGTAGATCGAAGGGCTTATCAAAGGCTCTTTGTCAGCTGGTCAGCCAAGAAAGAAGAATGTCTGTGTAGCTATGTGCACAAGATAAATCCAGTTGTTACTGAGTTTCCCTTAGTGAAGTCAGCTTCTGTCTTCCACCACCAGTCAGGTTTCCCCATGTTGTTTGATTTGCTGTTAGTGTTAGATGCTACAACAGGGATCCTTTGGTTCTGAAAGCACAATAAGATCAATGCTCAGGTCAAAATTATTTTAGCTGAATTTGTGAGGACAACATATGTAGTGAGTTGGAGGCACAGTGATCTAATATGAAACCTGACAAATAGGCTATCAAAATAAAATTATTCATGCCTTAACATTCCTCTCTCATTCCTCTTCCTCATTTTATGGCTTTATGTACCTCATAGCCTCTCTTTCTTCTGTCCTGTGCTCTTTTTTCTGTTTATTAATGTAGAAGAGGCATGCCCTGCGCTGTTACTGCCAAGCCATGCAGGTGTACAAGGAGAGGGGCTGGTCTTTGGCAGAGGACCATATCAACTTCACAGTCGGTCGTCAGTCGTTCACACTTCACCAGCCAGAGAATGCTGTAACAGCCTTCAGACAGATCTTCACCCATGACAGCAGGCAGCCAGCCACACAGCAGGGTGCCTTTCTCAGAGAGTACCTTTATGTTTACAAGGTAATTACAGTGTTTATCCATGTCTGTATGCTAAACTTTACAGGAATGGACACTTTTTTGTCATATTTAGCGTGAATGCAAATTTGAAAATTTGGTTGGAAAGGTGGAGGGATAGTTTTTGGGGGCTATAGATTGTACTGCTAAAAGCGGTGGCTAACATTCACAACATACACACAAATGACCAAGTCGTCTGTGTTTCTCAGAATGTGATCAAAGGAAATGAAGTCGGTCTTTCCCAGCTGCCTCTGCCCTGTATCCTCAGCTCAGCCACAAGGGTCTACTTTGGGCGTGAACGTCGCCTTGCAGAAGGTAACATGCTGATTGATCATTTGTGATCTCTTCCAAGCTTGAATAAATCTAAAAAACAACAATTAGATTAGTCCTCGATTTTCACCTCCTATGCACACGAGATGATGTGTTATTGAGGTGTCGGTAAAAACAACTTTTCCACGACCAGGACAAAAGACGCTGGAATCACAGCCATGACTAGCACAATGTCTAAATGCAGCAGGGGACGACATGGGACTTAAAGAAGAGTCCCAACTTAACCTGCTGTTATTCAGTGCTTGTGCACAATGAAATATTATAATACAGGCAGCAGAATTTGCTCTGCATTTTTTTAAAGCAGTGTATTCAGTTGGATTTTATTTGTATAGCACCAATTCACAACAAAAAATCTTCACATGGTGTTTCACACAGTAAGGTCTACACCTTAAAGTATTATAGAGAAAAAAAACCCAACAAGTCCCCCTTGAGCAAGTTTGTGTGATAGTGGAGAGGAAATACTCCCTTCAGTTAAGGAAACCTCAGAGATAACCAGGGACTTGTTGGGTGTGCCTCTACCGGTTGAATTTATTTAACCGGATAAATTGGATTAATCAGTTAGCAACCTCTTTTTCAAACTATATAGCATTTTTTCATCTCACCTCTTGTTCTCTCTCTTTCTTTTTCTTCCTGATGGTTATAGTTTCAAGTTGCATTTTACATGAGTTTTGCTGAAACATTGTAATCATGGAAGATTTTTAAACTAAGTATACCATGTGATACTTTGTCTGGCTGAGATATCATTTATGAGTAGCAATGTTTTAACTACTGAGGTGTGTTTGAGCAAAGGTTGACTCTTACTTGAGGGTCAGAAGTGTAAGCACAACGGAGGAAATTATATTGACCAACTAGTTGTTCA